CTCCCATGTTCCAAGCCAGCGAAACAAACCTGGGGCATCAAGTGCAAAGGGGCATGCCCTCCTCCCCGAGCCTTGCATACTACACGTCGAACTCCAGAACCGAAAGCCCTTGGGCGAAGACTCTAAGCCTCCACACTACACGTCTCTGAGCAAGAAGGGTTTAGGGTTTAGGGTTAAGACGTCTCACGTGCAACCAGTCCAGCATTCGGTGCTCAGATCTCCCCTAGGAGGGCCATCGGCGGGGGGCCTGGAAACTTGCGGACGCTATTTGGATCCTCAAGGAGTACATCCGCAAGGATGGTGACTCAAAAGGGGTAGCGCCAGTTGAAGAGCGGCAAACTTGTGAATGAAGGCCGCTTTGAATGCGGGTTTAGGGTTTAGCGGTGCGCAGAACGTGGGTTGGAGCTTCCGTTTCAGCGAGATCTGAGCTGGGTGAAAGGGCGGCTGCAGAGACTGGCAAGCGCAGAACTTCGTTTCAGAAAGCCTCGCGGTCGGCTCGAATGCTGAAGTGAGCATTCGTTCGCGGAAACTCGGGGATTCTTGAGGTATATTGCCGCCTCCCTGTCTGAGGAGTTTTGGAACGGTCGGACCCGCTTTTACTATTAAAACCGCAAAAAGCTCCTTCTGAGCTGACTGGGGATTGAGTTTACATCATACAACCTAATATAACCTGGCAAACAGCCTGGTTCTGACCTCATCTACCCTGATACAAGCTGATATAGCCTAAGGAAACATAGAATGTAGCAGCGGCTCGGCCCCTTCTTCGACCGATCTCTCTCGAATGGCAGTGCCTACCAGCCAGTGCTTCCGAAACGAAGAGTCGCTCCTGCCGGAGTCTCGCAGAGTGAAAATTATGCACTGAGAAACGAAGCAAAAGCTTTCATCTATTTGAGGGAGCCGCTCTCTTTCTCATACCGACCTATGAAAAACTGCACGCCTAAGGTTCCCAAGAAGAACGAGTTCACCCCCCGCTGTTTGGGGATTCAGACTAGCTTAAAGGGGCGAGTAAGGGCTCAAGGGCCCAGGGATTTGGAGCTTATACAGGCACGCATGCAAAACAAAAGCATAATGACACAAGTGGATACATGCATACATGCATCATACATCCATCATCCATCCATCATCCGTGCGTCCGTCCGCCCAGCCATCCATCCATCCATCCATCGATCCATCCTCCCTCCATGCAGACATACATACATACATACATTTTGCGATTTGCAGGCGTTCAGTGGTAGTTCGCAGCCTAATTAGAATGCACAGCGACTCTCATCTGCCGAAATGGCAACGAGAGAGAGGCCTGCCAGAAAGAGCTAGGGGCTCTGAGCTGTACTTTATGCCCGTCAAGGGCATGGTCCCAGGCGTCCCTCAGCTGATCGGGCAGCATGCCCCAGTACGATGAGGCGACGGTTGCTACCTCCATTAGCCTACTGTCTGAAGACAAAGCAACTTCCCAATCCTCAGTCAGTGTCAGGCTAACATCGGGGGTCACGTCGCGGGCCGCAGGAAGTAGTGAACTCCAATTCACATCTTCCACCTCGCGTAGAAAGGCACGCAGGGTGACAGTCTCCAGTTCACCACTTGGCGTAGGCTCCCTTGTCCACGGGTAGGCGGCGAAGTTGTTGAGAGCTTCACACAACCCTTTGAAGACCTCGTCGTCCCAGTAGTCCGCGACCTCGGCCTCCCTGAGCTCGTTGGCCTCCATGGCGACCTGTGTGGCAATCTCGGCCATCTCGTACGTGTAGAGGGGAAAGCGCATGAAGACCGCCTGGATCACCGCCACAATGTATTCCACGCCCGCCGGTAGTCCGTCCGTCAGCAGGTTGTCGCAGAGTTCGGCATAAGCCCGCTGCATTGTGGCATCCCAGATGTTGACTCCCTCCGTGTAGGTCGGGTCCTGCACCTGTGTAGACGCGGAGAGCGTGAAGTCCTCCTCCTCCTGTCGACGCCATGCACGACTGCCAATGCCCGGGGCTATGCTCTGGGCCCTTGCGCCAGCGTGGTGTAGCTGCTTGGCACACCAAGCACTGTCACGTAGGTGAACAGCGAGCTTGTTCCGCGCCCAGAATTCCTTGCCACAGGCATCGCATCTAGTACCCTCGACGACAGCCCTATATTTGGCTCTTCGGTGGTGTACCTTGAAGAAGTGGGCGCCGAGTGCCGCTTTGGTACGCAGCCGTCTGCCGCAGGGCCGGCAGGTCCAGTCCGAGCCAATCTCCTCGTCCTTGTGTCTGCGCGCTTTTGCGCGACGTAGTAGCGCCCAATGGCAGATAGCGGTGCGGAAGGCCAAATGTCGCGCGGCTTCTTCGCGTCCGATTCGCCGCGCCACCTGCCGCTTGATCCACCCGTTGGACGCCGTGAGGAGCTGGACCCATCTGTCCCAGCTGTCTGCGTCCAATGCCGGCCAGTTGTCCCCTTGGCTTGACAGCCACCGCAGGTCGTCAACCACTTCGCGAAGCCATTCGCCTTCGGCCTGAAGCACAGCCCAGAGGGCTCTAGGGCCGGTTCTGGCCATGCTACAGAGGAGGCTGATGCGCGCCTTTCTGGCCAAGGCTTCAAGCGGCGGGACTCCAGTCATGATGTGGACCGCTGGGGTGGCAACTTTGTATAGCAGCTCCCCTTTGTAGGTCTTGGCCATCAGGCCTCGCAGAAGTCGGGAGAAGCCAGCGTCCAAGATCTGCCACGCGGAGCATCCTGTGGTCCACAGCGCAAGGTTGAAGAACGTCGCAGTGATGGAGGTATTGAAGAGGGATGCCCGGGTCTTGAGGGGGATCGTCTCATTGGTGTAGAGGAGGGCCCGCCCGGAGTCAAAGGCAGCCTTGGCCATGCTCAAGCGTCGCCTCGCCTCTTGTTGGAGCTTCATCTCGGTGTTCACAATGCCACCCAGATGAACGTACTGACTGGCGATGGTGACCTTGAGGTCAAGGTCCCGCAGATGAAGCGTGTTGGTTCCTTCCGCGAAGCATTGCCGCCGCACTTTCTGTGCCCCCTTTCCACGGATGGCCATGATGAAAGCCGTTTTCTTCGGCTTCAAGTTTGGCTGCATGCCGTGCCGTAGGAAATAGTCCAGGACAATGGATGCGAGGCGGCGCGATTTGTTGACCAGGATCAAGGGGTCAGCATCAGAGAGTGGGATGGCCGTGTCGTCGGCCCAGGTACAGTCCTGGGCTAACAAGTGCTCCTGCCCTGTCAGGGGCGGGGTCTGCGCCATAAAGGGGCCTCGGTCTGGGCTGTACTCCAGGCTGGTGAGCAGCTCCTCCGCCGTGGCGATCTCAACGATCTGCATGAGTATCTTGCCCAGCACAAAGGAGAAAACAATGTCCGCCCATGTCTCCCCCGGGCGAGAGCCCGCTTGGGTGCAGCAAAGCTGCGTGTCTGAGCCGTGGCGCGTGATGAACCACGATCGGTGCAGGAGGTCCTTGGCCATGTGCCTCAATGCCACCGGAATGCCCGCATCGCCCATCATGCCACCCTCCCGGATCAGGGTTGCAAACTCATAGGTGTCCTCGGGCGACAAGTCAAAGAACTTGAAAACCTTTGCAACCGCCTCGTCCGTTGCGACTTGTCCAACAGATAGCTCTCGAATGACCCGATAATATGCGGCCGTAGTGTCGATGAACAGCACCGCCGCCGAGTGATGGAGCTGCTGGGCTCTCCGTAGGAAGGCCTGAATGTACAATGCTGGGTAGAGCACCGGCGATTGCTGTTTGGCCCCAAGGTGGAACTCGTGCAGTCCCCGGCTGACGTAAGGTGCCACCCGTCGTCGTAAGAGCCGGTGGTAGCATTTTCCGAGCTGCGAGGAGATGAAAAGCGAGCGGTAGTTCTGTGGGCAATCAATGGGCCCTGCTCGTTTCCATGATTCTTGTAGAATCCCTCCTCTCCACTGTACAGGCTGGTGGAGAGCTGCCATGCTTTTGAAGAAGAGTGGGAAGGCTGCAAGGGCCATTTCGGCCGGTGCAGCGGCTAGTACTTCGCCCGGCAGCCCGTCTAGTCCGACAGCTTTGCGGCGGGACGCCCGTCGCATGGCTTCTTCGACTTCGAGGAGGGTGGGGAGGTCATCATGGGCCCACGGTATCTCCTCGTCACGGCAAATGGCCACGTTCTCCTCCCCAAGGTAGGTCTCCGTCGTGACAAGGTGGCCCATTTCCTGTTTCCCGAAGTGGTCGAGCCAAATTTTGTCCCTATCTTCCCAGGATGTGGCAATCCTTCCTGTTGAGTCCTTGAGGGCTGGCAGTGGCCTGGAGACGGGCCTCGCCTGTCTCCCACCAACACCAGCCAGCTTGGCTTTGTGTAGGACATCGCAGGCCTTGTCTCCTTCTCGATGCACAATGCCCTGTAGGTAGTTTGCCTTCGCTGAGTAGATGCCTTTCTTGATCCGGGCAGTGGCCCATTTCACGGCACCCGCCACAACATCATAGAGGATCGCCTGCTTGGAAAGTAAAGCAACCACGTCGTAGTCATCGCGGTTTCGCCATTGTAGGAAGGCCCGAAGGAGCAGCGTGGACCAGAGGTCGCGTCGGTGGCGGGCTCTGTGTTTAAGCCCAAGCTTCCTGCGCCGTAGCTCCCAAGTCTCTTGGGTGATGTAGGTGGCTCCCGGGCCGTCCTCCGCCCGAGCAAAGTGCTCTTGCATGAGTGCGTGAAGATAGTCCTGGAGGTGCTGGCAGTGGTCATCGGGGTGGACCTCCCAGCTTGGTGGGGAGTATGCCCGCAGGCCCTCGGCAATGATAGCCCGCCCCTGTTTTGTCAGCATTTTGTCAGCATCATACCGCACTCTGTGCAAGCGCTTCCTTCCACTGGTGGCTGTCGTTGCCGCAGTGACATCCAATGCAATAGCGGAGTGGTCCTCGTTGGGGTTGGCCGTGTCAAACTCCTCCTCTACCCAGCTGCATACCTCATTGATCTCCATGGTCCCGCCGACGCCGATGTAGTCAATACGATGCTCGGCTCCATTGGCCTGCCTGTAGGTGGTGGTCGGGCCAACGTGGAAGTCGCTGTAGGTGGAGGGCAGCCAGAGGTTGACAGCTCTGGCAGCCACGAGCATGCCTCTGCCATTGTCATCGGCCTCGCCATGGCTAAGGTCGCCTGTCACACCTGCATGGCCCAAGGGTACTCGGCCATTCAGGTCAATGCCGAGGAAGATGGCCATAGCTCCACGGTACGGCCATAGAAGTTCTTGTAGTCGAGAGAGGAAGTTTACTGCTTCCTGGGGCTGGGCTGCATGCGGGCAGTGGCCCGAGGCAACTACCACCTGCCCTTCGGTGGTTCGAATCGCCAGGACAAGCAGTCTGGGGGATTCATGGACAACATGGATATCCTCAGCTTGGACCCGGACCGGCTTGCCCCCACAACTGTAGAGGCCCCTGGTTTTGCTGATCCATACTGCCGTACCCCAGTACTTGTCCGAGCTCGCTGCCAGACGCAGGAAACGTTTGCTTGCGCAGAGTCCGGCTGCGCTCTTGGTTTCCTGAAAACAGGCTATGTTGTAGCCGAGGCTGTCGAGCTGGTCTTCGTAGTACCGACATTTCCCGCTGAGGGTTTGTGCATTGAGGCACAGTAGTTTTGTCTCAATGGTGCCGCCGTCCTTGGAGGTTCCAGAGGTCTTCGTGGGGATGAGCTGGTCCGGCCGTAGGGCGGGTCTCGCCCATGTTTTGCCATCCTCCCAAACAAAGCCCTGGCCACCACGAACAGGTAGTACAGCATCATCGAATAGGTGGGGTAGCCATTGAAAGTCTCCCTGTTGCATGAGAGTACAGACTTCAGCAGGCGGTGCCACCAGTTCCAGTGTGTTCTTGGCCACCAGCCCCGCCAGGACATCCGCCATTTCATTGAACGGGTTTCCAGCATGGGCCTTGGCGTGGACAAACTTAATCGGGGCCTTGAGCAGTCGGCGCAGGAACTGCTCGATGGCTCTTGTCTGTTCCGAGAACCGGTTTATGGGGCTCCATGTGCCATCCGCCGGCCATCCAGCCGCATAGCAGTCGAAGAAAATGAGGATCTGGCCGAAGTGCATGTAGTTGCATCCCTGGAGAAGCCAGAGCAGCGAGGTAGCAATAGCTATCTGCTCGTTCTTGAGTGCTGGCGCTGCTTCGAATGCCCACGGGCAGTCCAGATTTCCATGTGTTTGGGCCCCCAGCGTCGAATATAATGCTGTGGCGCTTGCTGTCACGAGGAGAGCTATCATCGCAAAGCCCCCCAGGCCCTGCGTCTCGGCCCAGGAGCCATCTGTATAGATGTGCAACTCTGGGAGCTCCCCGTCGCGTAGGCCTCGCCAAACTTCATTTCGAGGGCGGAGGTCCGATAGGGCCGCGTTCGTCGGCTCCTTAAACTCGACTCCCTCAAAGTCAGTGCGCCCATAGGTCGTCGGCCATCTCTCCAGTAGTCGGCGGACGTCACAGGCTTTGTGGGGGAAGCTGACACAGTTTTGTGTCATGTCATAGCACGGCGGCCCCACCATTGCGTGGAGTTGTATGGTACGTGCTTCACCTTCGTCTGGGGCAGAGGGGGTGCCATCAGTTAACTGCTCGTTCCGCTCGCCTCCTCGACGTGGCGAGCGGCTCCTATTGACCGGTCTAGGAGGCGGCGGCCCACGTCGCGGGTCATTTGGGCCCGGGGGCGTGGTGCTGCTGAAGTCGCTGGAGTGCGGGATGGCGTCGTAGGTGGAGGAGCTGGCCTCGCTGCTTGCAGTCTCTTCCTCACTGGTAGTGGAGCCGGGCGGTTGTAGACTGAACACCAGTGTCTCCAGGTGCTGGACCTTGAGCCTGTCTTGGCCCAGCCGTTCTCCTCCAACCACTACAACAGTCCAGCCGTCCGTGCCAGCAAGCTGGAGGTCACTGACATAGGAGGATGGAGCAAAAATATTAGTCTCCAGCTGTATCCACTGAGGGAAGCATCCAAGGGGCCGCAGGTCCGCAAAGATGATCAGGTACTCCTGCTCCGGCATCGTACGGGTTTCGATCACAGCAATCTGGTCGTAGATTGTGCGGCCACCGTGTGCCAGGCGAGGGATGCGGCCGGTCGGCTGGAAGATCGTCACATGTTCATCTTCAAGCCCAAGAGCTTCTTGGGCAATTTCACTTTGGTCTCGGTACTCCAGGTCGTCGATCTCCTCGATGACTTGATCGTCGGTGGTCTGGTAGACGGAATAGAGGCCCTCCAGCTGGGTCGGGGGGTCGAAGTTCGGGTTCCATCGCGTGGGGCGATCCAGTCGTGCCTCCAACATATCTGACCACCGGCAGTACCTTCCACTCAGCACCGCTTTGACTACTCCTCCTGGGCGGGCCTCCGCGGTGTGCCCCAATTCTAGTGGGGTGGTCCTGCCGTACAGATAGAAGTCCAGCTCGACGTCTTGGAACTCCGGAAGGCTGTGGAGGAGGCCAGCGTGATTGAGCCGACCCGATAGGTAGAAGGCATACACCGTGCCACCTAACTCCCGCGCATCCATCACCATTGTGGTTTTGTCCGAGCCTCGCATCCACGCCGGCTGCGCTATGAAGCTCCCGTGGAAATCTCCCAGTTGTGGGACAGTCGGGAGGAGCTCGTCAAATTCATCAGGAGTGACCGAGCAGGCCTGGCGCAGAGCATCCGTGAGCATTGGGACCGTGAAGGGCCTAGGGATCTCCAGGTCAACAATCTCGGATTGATAGTACACCGCCGCCAGCCAAAGAGTAACATGCAAGGTTACTTCGGCCATAGTGGGAAGTTCCGGCTCAAGAAATTCTCCTGGGGGCGATGTAGTATACACCCGCGGAGGAGCCTCCCCCCCTGAGTGTTGAAGGGGGCGTGTCAGTGCCCAGCGTTGCTCCGCTGCGGCAAGCTGCTCCCGGATTGTGTCTTGACCCGAGAGCCACATCTCCAGATCAGTCGAGTGCGGCAGGCGCGCTGTAGCGCGGCGCCGGACCGCCTGAGTCGGAACCAGGGAGTCTCCGACCATAGCAATGATGCCGAGGGTGTAGCAGAGCCTGCCTGGTGTACCTCCAAAACTCCATTTCCTGGCCGCCTTGCCTCCCAGTCCAGAGAAGCCGAAGAAGAAGGTGGAAGTGAGGCAAATCGCCAAATGAGTAAGAAGACAGCCGGCAGACCACTGCTGCAATATGTCGGCTATCTGGCTGAATCTATATCCAAGACCAGACCCCCACTGTTCCAGCAGATCCAAGACGTCATAGACCCTTCTGTTCAATGCTGAGTCCTGACCGAAATTTTCTGGGACATACCGAGAAAGCCCAGGTGAACGTGGCTCCGTCGCCTTCTCCATGAGAGGCCCGTGACATAGCCGCTGATGTAGCCGCCGAGAAGTAATGTCTTCCCCTAGCATGCAGGGGTCGTGCTGAGGAGGCCCCACTGCAAGTAGCTCTGCTGCGTCCACCAGTTGAGGCCCACGATATTGCTGCGGAAGAAAATGCCGTGGCGTGCCCGTCACGTCCAACTTGTCCATCTCGCAGTAGTCCCTTCTGTTCCATGCTGAGTCCTGACCAAAATTTTTTGGGACATGCCGGAAAAGCCCAGGTGAACATGGCTCCGTCGCATCCTCCATGGGAGGCCCGTGACATAGCCGTTGATGTGGCTGCCATGGGGGAGTGTCCTCTCCTAGCCTGCAGGGGTCATGCTGAGAAGGCCCCGTAACAGTAAGCGCTGTCGTGTCCACCGAATGAGGCCCACGATATTGCTGTGGAAGGAATTGCCGTGGCGTGCCCATCACGTCCGACTTGCCCACATCGCAGTAGACCCTTCCGTTCCACGCTGGATCCTGACCAAAATTTTTTGGGACATACCGAAAAAGCCCATGTGAACATAGCTCCGTCGCATCCTCCCTGAGAGGCCCATGACGTCGCCGCTGATAAAGTCCAGGGGAAGTGTTAGCCTCCTTTGGACTGTCGGGGACATGCCGAAAAAGCCCAGGTGTGCTTGGCTCCGTCGCATCCTCCGTAGGAGGCCCATGACATCGCCGATGAGAAAATTGTAGGGGCGTGCCCATCACGCCCGGCTGATATGGGGCAATCCGCAGCCCCGGTTTCACCCACTCCACCGCATCATTCGTGGGGGTCCCGTGACCTTGCCGTTGACAAAGTCGTCGTGACACACCCCCGAGGTAGGCAGGGAGCATGAGCTCGGCTGTGTGGATCCCGTAGGCACCTTCAAACGGCCTTGTCCACCTCATAGCCGCTTGCCCAGGGTTCATCCACCGGAGCCCTTGCCCGCACGCTCCGCAGCTTTTGTCGACAGCGCGGCAAGAGCAACCTCCTCGTCCTCCTCGTCGGACAGGATCTCCGCATCCTCTTCCTCGAGAGTCGCCGCCCTGGATCTCGCCGCTTCCAGTTTTGCCGCCAAGGTGGTCCCCCTCTTCGGCGTTGGAATCGGACGGCGGCCTTTGAGCTTGATTCCTTGTCGCGGCGTGCTTCCCTTTATCTTGCGGGTCTCCAAGACGGGAGATGGCCGGCCTGTATTCGTACTCGGCGACGTCAGGTAGGGGTCGGCGATGAGCTCTCCCTCGTGTCCAGTTGCCCCTCGCGCCGCAGCGATCGCCTTCTCCATCATCTGGTCCACCGCAAGTCTCGGCCCAACTCTGGTAGTGCACGGGGGAGTCATCGGCGAGCCTCTGGCAACCGTCGTTCTGGCGGGGGTACGCGGCGCCAGAATGCCTTGGAGCTTGCGCCCAAGCTGTGCCGCCAGAGCTTCTACCATGGACTCGTCCTTTGGCTCGTCGCAGGCTGCCAAGAGCTGATCCCATTCGTTGGCGATGTCCGACGGAATGGGCTCGGTCTCGGGCTTGGCCACCATGAGGGTCTCCGGGTGCGCGATCGCCGTCTGGAGGTCCTGGTAGGCAGTTCGTTGCGATTCCTGCAACTCCTGGAGCTCCGTGTCCAGCCTTGTCATGTCCTTGTGGAACTGCAGCCGCTCTTTGACAAAAGTCCGCTGCAGCTTCTCTTGGAACTTTTGCCATCTGGCCTGGGCACTGGCACGTTCCTCCTCCGCTTTTCTCATGCGGACCTCCGTCTTCCTCGCCGTGGTGAGGAGCTTCTGAAATCCACCGGCAAGCCCTGTCTTCTTGCCGTCCGATCCCTCGCTGCCAGTCGCCGCTTCCTTTTGGTGCTTGTCCTCGGCCATCATGGTGTACGTCGGGAACTCGGGCTCCTCGTCCTTGTCCCACTTGGACCGGCCCCAGTCCCATCGCTGCTGCGATGAGGAGGGCTGCTGTCGCCATCCGCCTTGTCCTTGCCATTTGTTGTCGTTCCATCCTTGGCTTCCGGAAGGCCGTGCAGCTTTGCTTCGTCCCATGTGTCGACCTGCTTCCCTGTACTGTGGCCTGGAGTGGTGCCTGCAGAGGATGGCCAAAGCCTTGCGAGGGGGCTCTCGCCCAGCCGCCCTTGCCAGGTGGATCTGGCGGCGGTATTTCGCTCGCCGAGCACGCAGCCGGCGATGCCAAGGAGGCGAGGATGGCTGGAGGATTGTGCCGTATTGGCACGCGGGGCCCCTGGCAATGCGTGTCCCCTGTCGGACAGCTCGATCCAGTACCCTACATACATACATACATACATACATACATAAAACAATCAGGTACGTGATTGGATCATCGGAGCATGGCCTCCCTCAGGGGTTCCTCTCCATTACCCATGGCAAATGCGCGAAAAAAACACCAACCCGCTGCAGGTCACTTTCCCCAGGTGTTGAGGGCTTCGGGATTCCAGGCTCGCGGATTTACTTTTCAGACCTCCTATGAGGTTTGTTCAAGGGTTTCGACTCCGGGTGTTCCAAAGGCGGGTTCTGAGTCTCCTGTGGCGTATCAATTCTGATTGGAGTTTTGTAGAAAGAGAACTCCCATAATCAGACCCGAACAGCCGATTGTAAATGTGAGAAGTTTCCGAGAAAACCCCTACTTAGTTTGTAGAAGCAACTACAATCATAACTTTCAGGGCTCCTCCGAGAAACCCTGGCGTTTCGGGACCCCCTGACCAATTCAGCCCTTCGAAAGGGACCCTAGAACTCGCGGACCCGCCCAATGGGGAACAAGAGGGCCGTCAGACCCGTGCAAGCTACATGCCCCTACAGCCCTAAGCCCTAAACCCACAACTCCATCTAAGGGCTTTCATCTGAGGACGTCAGCCGCCCTGATGTGACCTTCTCTGCAGCAACGGGGGATATTCAGGTGCTCTTCAAATTCCAAGTCCTGCCCGACAAATCCGGGGCTCCAGGCGCTGGGCTGCAAAAGGGGTTTACGTTGGGGGAGGGATTCCTGCTTTAGGGTTGAGGGTTAAGGAGCAGTAGTCTTTCAACCCAGGGTTCCTGGAATAACAACAGCCTATCAAGAGAACTCTTTGTAGAGGGCGACAGAGGCGAGTCCTGAAACGACATGAAGTTTCTTTCCTCGCGGAGTCATGAGGCTTCTTGGGAAGGCGAGGTAGTGTTCGTTTATGGAGCCGAGGGCCTGCGACGAAGATTTCATCTATCTATCTACCTATCGATCTATCTGTCTATCTATATACGTAGAGACCCAAGAGCGTCGTCCTTGTGCTTCGTATTTCTCACAGTCTGGACAGTCGGACCTCAAGACATCTTGAAAGTCACAAGCACGGTATCAAAATCCTGAAACTGCAAACCACAAACCTGCCTGGGAACCAGTACGTAACTCTGCGGAGCACCTCCAAATGCATTTGAACAGAGTTCGAGACCCCTCACATAGAGCCATGATAAACCCTCCTAAGCCCTTGACCCTAAACCCTGAACCCCAAACCCTTTCAGCACGGAACCCTAAACTTTAACCCTGAGAGACAAGGCGAGTCCTGCTTATTCCGCAGAGCGCTGTCGACCCCGAGCTGTGCTCTGGATGTGCTTAAACCTCGGAGCTTCTTACATCCCCGTCTTTGGGGGTTCATAGGGCTGATAGGGTCTTTAGGGCTGACAGGGTTTGGAGGGCCTATAGGGCTTATAGGGCTGATAGGGTTTACAGGGCTTATAAGGTTTTTTCGGGCTCACAAAGGTTCAAAGGGCTTACAGGGTGTATAGGCTGCACAGGGGTTTATCCTCCCCGGTGCTTGGGATTCTCTGGCGGCCTCGGGAGCCTTGAAGTTTCCGCGTTTGGGATTCTCGGCTGGTAGGGTTTGGGGCGACGGGTTAAGGATTTCATGTGGGGGGGAGGGGGGTGGTTAGTAAGGCTTTAGGGTTTTTTGGCAGCGCAGCGAGCCCGGATAACTCGCTTGCTAGTTCTC